ACAGCTAAGTGGCGTTGTTAGGTAAGACACGAAGCGTAGTTTAGCTGTTATAAATTCACTATAAACCACGGCTTCACAGGGCTTCTTGCTTTTATAAAACGGTTATTCCATATACGTAGTAAGGTTTCACAAAATAAAACAGAGCAAATAAAGTGTAATGATATTAATAAAAACAGTATTCTTCCACCAAACAATGTAGCTCCTCAGAATCAGTTGTGGTTGCTACAAAGTGGTTGCCGAGCAACAGACAAACGTAAACAAAGGTGTATGTTACTTTGTAGAGTAATTTAGAACAGCTTCGAACGTGGCTCAGCCAATCAGAATCAAGGACCGGAACTATCCGTTTTATAATAAAATGTAAATAATATAATATATTTATTTTTAAATACAACATTGAATTATTGAACATTTACACATTTTCGAACAATTACAATTCGCGTGTTTTCTTATGAACTAGTAAAACGACTCATTCGGAACAGTTATAGTTTTAAGCAGTATATTGGTAGTTAGTTGGTATGCTACACTTAAAGAAAAGTCTGTGAAATAGGGCACAATGTACTGCGTTAATGTGAGATTTTTAACAGGTTTTTTTTACCTGAATTTAAAATTGCACACTGTATTTTCTGTTTTCAGGATACAACTTAACAGATAATGTCCTGTTATAAAATGTATAGTTCCGGTCCTTGATTCTGATTGGCTGAGCTGCGTTCGAAGCTGTTGTAAATGACTCTACAAAGTAACATACACCTTTGTTTACGTTTGTGTGTTGCTCGGCAACCACTTTGTTGCAACCACAACTGTTTCTGAGGAGCTACATTGTTTGGTGGAAGAATACTGTTTTTATTAACATCATTACACTTTATTTGCTCTGTTTTATTTTGTGAAACCTTACTACGTATATGGAATAACAGTTTTATAAAAGCAATAATCCCCGTGAAGCCGTGGTTTACAGTGAATTTATTACAGCTTCGCGTCGTGCCTAACAACGCCCCTTAGCTGTAATAAATTCACTGTAAACCACGGCTTCTTGAGGCTTATTGCTTTAGTAGAAAATTACATTTTCCATTTTTCTACATCTTTCTTTTAACTGATCAACAAGTGCAGGTACAAACTAACAAGGTGTTATCATAAATCAAATATCATAAAGCAACTTAGTTCATGTGATATGTGTACAGTTAGACACTTTTGATTTCCTCTTCTTGTGTAATTTAGAGGGAAAATATGTGCCTTTTTTGAGTCACAGTTGCTAAAAGTTGCCAAATACATTTTAAAAATAGCTACATTTGTTGCTAGGTGCTTTTTGAAGAAATAGTTGCTAGAGTAGTATGAAAAGTTGCTAAATCTAGCAGCAAAAGTTGGCAACACTACACACTATCGAATCCAAGCGTGTTGCTCTGTTCCTCAGCTGTGCGTCGCGTACAACCGAAGCCGAGGGCGGCGTGGAAACTGTCCGGACGGAGAGACGTGCACGAGGCTACATGTGTGCGAGAGCTTCGTCAGAGGACGCTGCGGTGACACGGACTGCGGCCGCACGCACGATTTCCACGAGCCTCAGGCGAGAAAAGTGCTGCGCTCCAGAGGAGTGTCGCAGCAGCTCATGAACTCGCTGCCCTTCATCTACCGCAACATCCTCGCGCTCAAGACGCTCAAGACTCAAGCGGACCGCGGGAACACAGACATCCAGCCTCACAGAAGCTCTGACGGAGGTGTCAGGGTTCCTCAGTGGTTTATTGGTTATATTTGCACATATATGTGACCCAGGAGCACAAAACCAGTCATAAGGGTCAATTTTTGGAAATTGAGATTTATGCATCATCTGAAAGATGAATAAATAAGCGTTCCATTGATGTATGGTTTGTTAGGATCGGACAATATTTGAAAATCTTGAATCTGAGGGTGCAAAAAAATCTAAATATTGAGAAAATCATCTTTAAAGTTGTCCAAATGAAGTTCTTAGCAATGCATATTACTAAACAAAAATTAAGTTGTGATATATTTACGGTAGGACATTTGCAAAATATCTTCATGGAACATGATCTTTAATTAATATCCTAATGATTTTTGGCATTAAAGAAAAATGTATAATTTTGACCCATACAATGTATTGTTGGCTATTGCTACAAATATACCCCAGCGACTTAAGACTGCTTCTGTGCTCCAGGGTCACACATGATTATAATAATTATGCATAAACGCTATGTTTGTATTTCTCCCGTCTCTGAAGCATCATCATGATTCTGATTTAACACGTTTTGTTTTCTCTCCTCATAGAGAGTGAGATCTGCCTGTCGTTTGTCAGAGGATTCTGCGGAGCAGGTACGTGTGTGATCGTGTCCGGTCACTAAAGACCCAAAGAGGTCCTGATTTAACCTGAATGCATCTATTTAGTCACGTCACACTTATTTATACAGCGCTATATTATACAATACACAGTGTTTCAAAGCAGCTATCCTCCTTATTCTTCAATGCGGAAGTAAACCTATGGGCAAAACTTCTGGTTCGTTAGACGCTTTAGAGAAATAACGAGAAGAATAACAACGTGCATTACAAGCCAGTGTGTTCATAATTAAGATTATACATTAAAATAATAAGGTTAGACACACCTATCAAGCAACAAAACGAGCTAAAAATAGCTGGATGCGCATGAGATCAACATTCTGAAAGCGTCCTTATGATGTTACTTGTACCTGATGAACATTCTAAAAAAGTTTTTTTTGTAACCTTTAAAATAATGTTCTACTCTTGACAAGAAAACTGGCCGTTTAACGTTATGCGAATATTAAAAATAAACGTTTAAATATTTGGGTTTAGTAAAAACGTACGAAACATTTTTGTTAGAAATGCATTTGTAACTTTTCAGTAACATTATAACCATGACCACCTTAGAAACATTTTAAAATAATGTTCCCACGTTTTTATAACCTAAATTTGTTCCCTGTAAAGCAGCTCTACGGAAGACAAGTGTCATAATTCAAATCTATCAGTTAAATTGATGATATACTTGAATTTTAATTGTCTTTTTTAGTAACAGTGATCAGCTAATCACAAAATACAGTGTTGTTTTAATAGAATTGAGTTAAAAAAAATTTTTATTTTAGTTAATTGTCGTAATTTTATGTTTTTGTCACTAAATGAAAATGCTAAATGTTGCATTGGCAGCTAGCTGAAATAAAATAAATGAGTTGATTTATTTATAAGTAACAAAACTGTTTGTATGGTTGTAGTTTTTGTTAACCATAATAACCTCGCCAGTGATGTCTTGCACTGGACCAACCTGGTTTTATCATAATTCCAGTCATATTTTAACACCACAATGTTTATTACAAATAAACATACGCCTGTTTAAAGTCACAGTGTGAATAGAAATAAGATACATTTGTGCCATCTTTTAGAAACCACTGCAGAAGTGCATCAGTGAGATTGAGGTGTCAGTGTGTGTTTTCTCTCCGTCAGATAAATGCAGTAAAACACACTGTAAAATGCCCTATAAGTGGGAGGTGAAGGTGGGCTGCATGTGGCACGATTTACCCAACAGCGAACAGATCGAGCGAGATTACTGCGAGCCATCCAACATACACAGGTAACCTTCACAGGACAAGAAATCTGCTGTTCCAAACCCACAAGATCTTCAAAACAACCAAAATATAATATAAACGATATGTTTTTTTACTGAAACCTGCACGATCTATGTCTCTTCATTGAAAGTCCATGCAATCAAAATTAATAACCCTAAAGACATGCGATAGTAAAAGCAATCCATATAAATCGAGCAGTTTAATCCACGATCATGTTATATCAGTGAACTTCCACGTTTAGCATATTTAATGAGCTCTGCGTAATGAATAAAAGCATCTGTTTATCATGTAAAACTATTATGTCTTGTATTCAGTTGCTTTATCGATACGATACGAACTCGATACATTTGTCTTGTTTTCCAGTACGAATATATGAAGATTATTAAATCAAGATACATTTACCTGAGAAGCGAAATGAATAAAATCAAATAAAATGTCAAAAGTAAATAAATACATAATTTAAAAAAAAGTCCCTTTTCCCTAAAATTGCTTCAAAATTAAGGGAGAAGGAAAAAAAACTTCATTCAAAGGGAAAAACTGTAATTTTTCTAACCTCGTTGCCTCTATTTGTTCTTGTTTTAAGCAAACGCTTTCCTACTTTTAGGATTTTTTGGGGAAATCAAGACTTAATATCTTTAGTCATTTTGTTTCTCAAGTAAATGTGTCTCGATTTAAAGATTTTTGTATTTGAAATCAAGACAAAAATACTAAGAAAATCATTTTTTGCAGTGTGCATAAAAGCGTCTTGTCAAATGCATGAATGTAAATATAAATCACATTCTTCTTACGAAATTTAACCATGGTTTTATTATAGTAGAACTGTAGTAACCGTCGTTTTTTGGCGTATTGATTCCCATTTGCATAAAGTTAAATGGTTAATTTGTGGTTACCACTATAGTAACCATGTTTTTTGGTTTTTTATGTGACCCTGGAGCACAAAAGCAGTGTTAAGTCGCTGGGGTATATTTGTAGCAATAGCCAACAATACATTGTATGGGTCAAAATTATTGATTTTTCTTTTATGCCAAAAATCATTAGGATATTAAGTAAAGATCATGTTCCATGAAGATATTTTGTAAATGTCCT